GGAGGCCATTACTACTAGTAACAAGAAGCTACTAGTAGCAAGAAGCTACTAGGTGGAGGGCATTGCTATTAGGTTGGAGGCCATTACTACTAGTAACAAGAAGCTACAAGTAGTTCCCGGGCAAGCCGGCGGCGGAAGTTTCATATAAGAAGAAATTGACCTATAGGAGTGTCCACGTTCTCTACAACATGCGCGTCCTCCAGTCAAACGCACGCGCTCCGGACTTTTGACCCACGGGATTCCACGTGTGTAAGGTGTGTGCCCCCTGCAGGATCAGCAGCTCACAACAGCGTACTGGGTTGTATCTTTGCCACGACAAGAGGGGTGTATGACGAGTGGTGTATGTTGAGTGGTGTATGATGAGTGGTGTATGACGAGTGGTGTATGATGAGTGGTGTATGCTGAGTGGTGTATGATGAGTGGTGTATTGACCAGCAGTTGAATGTCCTGTCCTGCATAAATGCAACCAAATACTATCAGTATGAACTGTGCCAAACCTGCACGCCGCGAGAGATGACTCAGCAGCGAGAGATGACTGAGTCGCGAGAGATGCCTCAGCCGCGAGAGATGGCTATAGCGAGAGCTGACTCAGCAGCGAGAGATGAATGAGCAGCGAGAGATGACTCAGTCGCGAGAGATGACTCACAGCAGCGAGAGCTGACTCAGCAGCGAGAGATGACTCCTCCGCGTACTACACTTGTACTACAAAGTGGCCAGTTCTCAGCTTCCAGCTCCACAGGTTGTTCCGCGTGCTCAAGTTGTACTAGAAAGTCGCCAGTCAGTTCTCATCTTCCAGCTCCCCAGATGCTCCGCGTACTGCAGTTGTACTACACAGTCGCCAGTTCTCAGCTTCTAGCTGCACAGATTGCTCCGCGTACTAAAGTTGTACTACAAAGTCGCCAGTTCTCAGCTTCCAGCTCTACAGATTGCTCCGCGTACTAAAGTTGTACTTGAAAGTCGCCAGTTCTCAGCTTCCAGCTCTACAGATTGCTCCGCGTACTAAAGTTGTACTAGAAAGTCGCCAGTTCTCAGCTTCCAGCTCTACAGATTGCTCCGCGTACTAAAGTTGTACTACACAGTCGCCAGTTCTCAGCTTCCAGCTCTACAGATTGCTCCGCGTACTAAAGTTGTACTACAAAGTCGCCAGTTCTCATCGTCCAGCTCGCCAGATACTCCGCGTACTAAAGTTGTACTACAAAGTCGCCAGTTCTCAGCTTCCAGCTCTACAGATTGCTCCGCGTACTAAAGTTGCCAGTTCTCAGCTTCCAGCTCACAAATTGCTCCGCGTACTAAAGTTTTACTACAATGTCGCCAGTTCTCAGCTTCCAGCTCACAAATTGCTCCGCGTACTAAAGTTGTACTACAACCGCCAGTTCTCACCTTCCAGCTCCCCAGATGCTGCGCCTGCCACGAAATCTGCGCATGGAGGCTCACAAAGTGCTGTGCCTGCCACGAAATCTGCACATGGAGGTTCACAAAGTGCTGTGCCTGCCACGAAATCTGCGCCTGGAGGTTCACAAAGTGCTGCACCTGCTACGAAATCTGCACATGGAGGTTCACAAAGTGCTGTGCCTGCCCCGAAATCTGCACATGGAGGTTCACAAAGTGGTGTGCCTGACATGAAATCTGCACCTGGAGGTTCACAAAGTGCTGTGCCTGCCACGAAATCTGCACCTGGAGGTTCACAAAGTGCTGCACCTGCCACGACATCTGCGCATGGAGGTTCACAAAGTGCTGTGCCTGCCACGAAATCTGCACATGGAGGTTCACAAAGTGCTGTGCCTGCCACGAAATCTGCACTTCAAGAGACAAATGAAAACCTAATCACAATGGACGGCCGACCGAGCATGACCCGAGACCGTCTCGCAACAGTCGTTCCGCAGAGCTAGACTTGCCAGGTTCGAAGCCACCGGTTCTATTGAAAAATACAGCATTTCGTTCGTCCGCTATCTCTCGAAAACGCATTTTGTATTGCACCTGCCACGAAATCTGCGCATGGAGGTTCACAAACTGCTGCACCTGCCACGAAATCTGATGAGTGGTGTATGATGAGTGGTGGTTTGACGAGTGGTGATGAGTGGTGTATGATGAGTGATGTAAATGTTCGTAACACGGAAGTTCCTTCTAAACTTCCTTTAACTAGTAGCAAGAAGCTACTAGGTGGAGGCCATTGCTATTAGGTTCGAGGCCATTACTACTAGTAACAAGAAGCTACTAGTAGCAAGAAGCTACTAGGTGGAGGGCATTGCTATTAGGTTGGAGGCCATTACTACTAGTAACAAGAAGCTACTAGTAGAAAGAAACTACTAGGTGGAGGCCATTGCTATTAGGTTGGAGGCCAGTACTACTAGTAACAAGAAGCTACTAGTAGCAAGAAGCTACTAGGTGGAGGGCATTGCTATTAGGTTGGAGGCCATTACTACTAGTAACAAGAAGCTACTAGTAGCAAGAAGCTACTAGGTGGAGGGCATTGCTATTAGGTTGGAGGCCATTACTACTAGTAACAAGAAGCTAC